ACAGAACCTCTGACCCTCTAGAGGTTTTCAAAGGCAGTAAATTGGAGGAGGAAGACCATCTTTCTCCCATGTAGCTGCTGATGTATCTGAATCACATGTCTTTGGGTTGACAACACAAACCAGACATGGTTTCATTTAAATTATACATAATTCTGGGAGCATAGGCTATATAAAGCTCAAAACTAAAGTTATAATCACACATCTAATGGGTCAATAACAGCCATAATAAAAACAATACAGGCAGTAAGAAGCATTTCTCAAAATAAGCCTGTAGTAAATGAACTGAATCTCTGAAAGCCTGACTTACATGCACGCGCAGATGGACAGGCAGGCAGGTAGACACACACCCTGCAGCAAAGGAGATACACACACACACACACACACACACACACACACACACACACACACATTCCCTGCAGCAAAGGAGATCAAACACCCAGGGGCAAAGTTATCACTTCGAGCTTCTGTATAGTTCCCACAGCCACTGAGTATGTTTACAAGCATAGACTATTTCCAAAGCGCTTCAGAGATGAGGAAAAAGACAGCCTCCAGAAGTTTAGCTCTTTGTACAGCTGTTATTTTATAAACTTAACTAAATCTGAATAGGTCCAGGTCTCTAGTGCTGACTTCACATGAGACGGAAAGAAAAAATATTTTAGGTAACAAACATGGCCTTTCAGAGCAAATCATTTAAGGAAAAAACTACTATTTCTGCTAGATGGGAACTTATTCTATATTCTATGGCTATACGTGGGCAGAGATAAACTTAAAGTCTGAGTGAGAAAGATTGGAGGGAGCAGGGAGATGGTACTAACTTTGGGGAACATCTAGGATATTTTGCTGTTGCTGTCAGGCAAAATACTGAATAAGCAAGTTTCAACCTAAGGACAGAATTACCAGTCATGTAAGCAATTCAAAATCGCCATTAGAAAAGACAGATGTTTACTAGATATTTAGTGACCAGTATATGATTACTAAAACCACCCTGGTAAACATTATGCTCAAATTTAATTTAGCTTGACTTGTAATTTAATTCTGGTTTATTCAGATATTTTTTAGCTTCTTTTTTCTAGCTCACTGATTTATACAGACATTGACTTAATTATCTTTTAAATTTCCATTCCTCCATATCTGTTTAGAAAGTAGAATAAAATACACAAACTATTAATTAACTAAATAACTAGTAAGGTTTTTTCTTTATACTTTTCAGAATTTGCCAATGGTCTACAAAAAATTATGTTATTTCAGAACAAAGTCTTTTCCTTTCTTAAAGGCAGTTCTACAACCAACACCATTCTGAGAAAGAATATCTGTTATTTTATATTTAATGGTTCCACTTTCCCATGTCCAGCTCTGGTGGCTAGGTCCATAAAGCTGCCAATCCAAAAGCCATACCTCTCTGGCCATTCAAACTGCAGCGTCTGGGGAGGAAGATGGGCAACCTCCTGTAGTGAGATTTTTACAGCCTTGGAAACCCAATGCAGGGTCAGTTAGAAATCAGTTCTGACCCAACAGGAATGGATACATGAGTTTCCAATGCCTTAGTAATTTTGCCATCTCCACTTTTTGGTAAACCAAGTCACTCTGGAAGACAACTCATAATCCAGGTTTACTGTATGAATAAAGAAAAATGTATTATCTTGTTTTCTTAAGGAGGAAGATTATAGTCTTTCACGATATTATTGCTAATATTCTCTCACTGCAATGGAGTCAGAGCTGTCACCATTTTAGGGAGAGGACACGTGCTTAAATGTTCACATTACCTAGCGATTTCATCCACTAATGAGTCTGTTGTTACTGTTGGTATGTGCTGTCGAGAGTGACCGTATGTACGATAGCTCTGAACCCTGCTCTATCCTGTGCCAACCTTATCATCTCTGACACACCTATTCCCATTACCCCAGTCACTGAATCAGTCCATCTCATTGAGTCTTCCTCTCTTGTGCTGTCCCTCTCCAAGGACTGGTCCCTCCCTGTAATATGCACAAAGTATGTCAGACGAAGCTTCAGAATCCTTGCCTCCAAGGAGCAGCCTGGTTTCACGCTTTCTAGGACAAAACTGTTTGTTCTCCTAGCAGTCCACAATATATTCAATACTCTTCTCCAGCATCATGGCACAAAGGCATCAATTCTCCTTCTATTGTCCCTATTGTCCAGCTTTCTGACGCACGGCAAGTAAATGTGAAAACTATGGCCTGGATCAGGCACCCCTTAGTCTTCACATCATTGCTCTTCAGAACTCTGGAGAGGTCCCTGACAGCAGGCTTTCCCAAAGCAATTAGTCTTTTAATTACCCGGCTACTTGTACCAACAGTGTTGATTGTGCAGCCAAGCAAACTAAAGCCATTTACAATCTTATTCAAAAACTGTTAGGATGAAAAAGAACCACAGTATATAATGAAATTTCCCAGAAACAATAGAAAACAAATGCACTTCTAGTTTGGCTCCAACTCTCAGCAACCCTCCACTGGGTTTCTGAGGCTGTAAATCTCCACAGGATAGGATATGCATCTTTCGTCCACTGAACAGCAGGTGAATTTGAACCACTGATCTCTTATGCGACCTGATATGATATGCACTGTGACACTCAAAACTCAAGCTCATCGTCATTGTGTCAGAACCGACTCAGCTGACCCTCCATCGGGATTTGTCAACGCAGCACATTACACAGGTGAAGGCCCATCTCTTTCCCTTGGAGTTGCTGGTGGATTCAAACCATCAGCTCTGGTGGTTTCTCAGGGTAAATCACACAAGAGGAAATTGCCCATAGTTTCCCCCTGGAGCTGCTCAAGGCTTGGAACTAAGAGAGAGGTGGTGTTTGGTCTTTGGTTAGCAGGCACAGTCCCTACAAACTACCACCATAGGAACTCCTTTCATGTCAGCTGATAGAAATATTTTCATCCAAACAGAACTTTAAATCTCAAAGAATCCATACTTTTCCAAGTCATTGAGGATGGATGGTCTCCCCCCTCTGTCATCCCATTCAAATTACTACCCTGAGGAAATCTTTAAACTGAGACCTGATATTACCTCTGAACCAAATTATAGATTAGCCTAATCAGGAAAGAAAGTCTGCTTCAGCATTATATCATTTTAAAGAATTAGCTATATGTGACCAAACTGACCAAATTGCAAAGCATTGATGAAAAACTTAGTGGGGGCAATGAGTTTGTGCTAAAGATGATGAAACAGGTTGGAAAAGGTTGTCAGGAAAGGTGAAGAACAACTTAAAGAATCTAATTAATGTCAATGAATTGGATACACAGAAACTGTTCATTTGTATCATATATTCTGCATATTTTCATTTAACATATTTCCTCCAAATAGATGTCATTTATTGCTGTCTTTTCCTTACAAATGGCAATAATGCCTCCTATTTAAGATTATCATGGTTATATACAACTTTAGTCCTTAACATTTTCAACATTATCATTAATTCTCTATAATGTATTTTCTCTATGAAAGTGGCTAAGTGGTAAAGAATTGGGCTGCCACCCTAAAGGCAGATAGTTTGAATCCACCAGATACTCCAAGGGAGAAGGATGGGCAATCTCCTCCCCATGCAATTAAATGCCTCTAAAACCCGCTAGAGGGTCAGCTATGAGTTGGCTCTGGCCAGATGTACATAACCACCACCACCACAACATTTAATAATATCATGGTTACATACAACTTTAATTCTGGGTGTCACCCTTGCACAGGGGCCATGCTGATCTTCTCCGTAGTGTTCCAAGTTTAGTATGAGTGCTGCAAAGCAAGTACAACTACCTTTAATTCTGAAGAGTTTTCAACACGTCATTCAATTTCCTATACTACTTTTTCTCTGAAAAGGTCCAAGTGCTACGAGCTGCTTTGGAAAGCTCTGCAAGCCACTTTAGAAAAGAAAAAGGGAGAGGGAAAATGAAAAAAAAACAAACAAAACAACAAAACCCAACCAACACACAACTATTTCAAATGTGTACTAATATTTTAATGGATTATGGTAGAACAAGCAAGGCAAGTCTGTTGTTTCTAGTTCCAGTTCTGCCAGTAACCAGCTGTTTGAGTTCCAATGAGTCACTTAAACTATGGTTTCTAAATTCTAATGAAAGTAATTGTAACTTAACTAGTGTTCATCTTAAATGTAACCTTCGTAAAATCTATTGCATTTAAACTTTCCAAATACTATATTCTAATAGCAGCATCCTAAAATTTTGTCATTTTGTCTTGAAGCTAGTTCTTGACTTCTGTCTCAATTTGAACGAAAGCCTGGATCACTCATGTTGCACACATACACAAGATACACTGGGGGAAGAAATGAGTACGTCGGTATGCAGAAGACTTTGTGGGTCTGCAGTGAGGAGCTCTGCTAAGCACCCAGACAACAAAAACGCACTTCAATATGGAAAGTAAACCCGATTTTCCAATGAGACTGTCAGGCAGTCACACCCTCTACTCTCAAACCTTTTTTTCCCTAGTGGATACCAATCCAGTCTCCAGTTCCGGGTTCCCAACCAATTGCATCAAGCCACAACAGAGGGCTCGGCCGACCTGGGCACCGTTTCAGGGCTCTGGACTGAGATTCACACGACCCCGGCACCTGTCCACTTCACACCGTCCCCAAAGAGTGGGGGTGGATGAAAACAGTAGGTCTATCCCCACCTCCTTTAGATTCAGGCCAATACCAAGCCCAAAAACTCTACAGAGTGAAACAAACCCGGGACATCAGAGAGTAAGGGGAGCCCCTCCACCACTGTCCTCTCACCAATTCCTTCCCAAGAGCTAATTCTCCAGCCTACAGGTTCCAACCCTTGGTCAGGTTACTCAGGCCGCAAGGATCCAGAGCTGGGAAAAGTGGACAGAAAGACGCCGAGAGTAGAGACAGCGGGAGAAGTTGAAATCTCAGACATCAAAGGAAGATTTAAGACAGCAATGGTCGCAGCAGCAGCGCTCCCTCTGAGTGCAGGCGGGAGGCCTTCTGCACCTCTTCAGAGGGGTCTGTCATTCCTTTACTCACTTACCAGGAGCAGTAGGGAGCATCTGAGGTCCGATAAGGGTAAAAAGACCGCAGGTTTCATGGTAGGTAGCGTTGAAGTCCGCGGCCGGGACAGGTGTTGGTGGCTGGGGCTGGGTTGGGTTAGGAAAGGGCTGGGCGCCGGGAGCCGGCAGCAGCGGAGGATTCTCCCAGCAGCGATACCTCGTCCTCTCGACCCGGAGCTCCAGCGGCGAACACCCGGGACGACTTCCAGCGAGGCCCCCTGCTCACCCTCACTTCCGGGTCTTGCCCACCTCGGACCACTCGGGGAAATGTAGTCCAACGCCGAGTTCACAATGCAGATGAGCGAGCGGATGGGACTCCCTTTCCCAAAAGGCTCTGCGCCGAGGTTCCCCGAAGGCTTCTGCGCGCGAGGCCTTGTGGGATAGGAAAGGCCGGGAGCGGATATACCGCTGCGCTACGGAGGATGAGAACTACAAGTCCCAGAAGGCCGCGCGCTCTAGAGCCCCCAGCGGCCTTGCGAGGGGTTTGGCTGGCTGCGGTACTGTGAAGTCGGATCGAACCCCGTGTTCTTTCCCTGGTGTGGCGGGAGGGGCGGCTCGGTGGGGGTCGTGCCTCCCGGAGCCGCCCCCAGGACGTCAGTCCTGGAGGAGGCGAGGGTGAGTAGGAGGGGTTCTGGCTGCAGAGACTCGGGTCGATCTGCATGGTTCTGACTTCAGATTGAGCCTCAAACTCTCGGCCTGCCTAGCCTGAGTAGTAGCCTGAACCTCCATCACTTGCCTCCTCGCCTGCTGCCTCTTTCTGCACTAATTCCTGCTTTATAAAGCCAGGACCACCTCCTAAAACCCCAGTGGAATAGGTCCCTAATTGGTTCTGTGGGCTCTTGTAACAAGCAAAATGCCTTAAGGGATGGGAAAGCATGTGTTGTAAACTAAAGTGATTTTCGCTTGCTCACGCGCGGATCACTCCTACACATAATGACCAGAGGTAGCAGTCAAGAGATCTTATCTATTTGGCCCTGCACTCTTAATCAGCCTCTACTGCAAACCAGGTTGTTCCTTGGAGGCAAGGATTTTTAAAACAAAGTCTCACATAACTTTGGGTGTGTTGTCAGGAGAGACCAGTCCTTGGAGAAGGACACCTTGCTTGGAAGGGTGGAGGAAGATCCTGGATGAGATAGAATGACTGGGGTTGGCTCAGGATAGGGCAAGGTTCAAAGCCGTTATTCTTAGCCTTGACCCACACAATAACAGTGCAAACAAGCTTGATGACTGTGTGCCTCAGACGGACTACACTGTTACTGCTAAGTCTCCTGGGATTACTTTACACTTTTGTGTCTTTTCGCTTCCACTTCCCGCCTCCTTTGCCGAAGCTTTGAAATGGCCTTAGCAAATCTCACCATCTCAGAAGATCCCCACTAGATTAACCAACTCTTGAGTCCTTATCAGAGTTACTCTCTCCGCCACTGACTCCAGCCCCACTAGTTATGTACTGTTATCATTATTAAAGCATTTATTGAACGGACTTGTTTTATAGTTAGTGATGATACCTTTTCGTTTTATAGCCTTTTGCAATGAACTTCCCACCCATAAAACATTATTTATAGAAAACATTTGCGCTAAAATTTTGAACTGGTATTAAAGCCCTGTTGTGTGCTGTGGAGTCGGAATGGGTCCATAGCGGACCCTCCAGCAGGTTTTCAGAGGCATTGAATCACGCGGGAGACTATTGCCCAGCCTCCCACCGAACAGCTGGTGGATTCAAACGATGGACCATTGGTATTGCTGCAAGACTTCTTACTGCTAGGCCACTAAAACTCCCTAGAGCCCTAGAGAATACGTTTCCCAGGCTGACAAGACTAGAAAGTGGCAGAGCCAAGTCTCTTAACTTCAGGTCTCCTGACACCTCATCCAGGGACCTTAAGGCTTCCCCTCTTCGCTAAAAAAAAAGACCTGAGAACTGTGACGGAGATTGAAAAAGAGTGCCACGTAAGGAATAAACTCTTTAATACAAGAAATTAAACTTTGGTCCTGATGACCTTCTGGACTTAGCACTCTGCCTATGACTTTTCACTCAGCAAACATTTACTGAGCACCAGTTACATACCTGCTCCTGTGCTCAGAGCTAAGAATCATGAGCTTAAAATATAAAATTAAGCATACACGCATTCCCTCCACAGCTGACAGTAGGTCTGGTTTCTTTAGTGAGCTGCGGTAGCCTCAGGGCACACACGCTGCATGTTATTAACAGAAACAGTCTTAGAACACAGCAGCAATTATGTTGTTCCTACCTCTGTTCCTGTTTTGCAGTATCCTTTAAGTGACTTTAATATAATCTTGCACATGACAGATCCTTCTGAATATCTGGGACATGACAGAAGTATCTTCCTCCATGTTTTCTGCCAACATGAAAACCAGAGCTGTCAACAAAATAAATACAAGAAGAGCTGACCTTTACCATAATCAATCAAATACCTTTTCTGTGAAATAGAAAGTTAACCAATAATCTTTGTCAGTGACACCACTAGTACTGACCCATCAGCTGTGATGGATTTATCTTTCAAAACTCTACCAGATCTCAAGGAATCACAGAAATTGGAGTGAGGTTTTTTGATGATTTCCCTCGTGGCAGTAATTAACTAGAGCTGATTAAAAGCTGTGCTCTCTAGATAGGTGTATATGCCCCAGTTTGCCATGGTCCCAGTGGCTGCCTGTACTTCTACTGGTACTTTCCTTGCCCTTGTAGGCATTCAAATATAGAACTTGTGACACAGCATCTTGAATTTGGAAAGAATGTTTAAGATCATCTGTGTACCTTCCACTCCCTCCTCCTTCTATTGTTGCTAGGTGCCCTCCAGTTGAAAGGGACTCAAAGCTGACCCTTCAGCAGGTTTTCAGAGGCAGTAAATCACACAGAAGGAGATTGTCCATCTTTCTCCTGCAGAACCGCTGGTGGATTCAAACCTCATGCCTTTGGGTTAACAACAGAGCTCCCTCCACTCCTTATAGATGTTTAAATATTTCCTGCTGAAGTTGTAGCATAGTCCCAGCTTCTGCTTAAACATGATTGTTTCAGGGAACTCATTATCTTCCTATGCCACTGTTAACTTTCTAGATGATCTTAACACACCATATTAAGCTACCTCTTAGAACAATATTTACCTTAAAGAAGCATGGTTAATCTTAATGCTATGATATTCTAGGTTAAGGCCTAAGGTTAAGATCTCAAGCTTTCCCTAGTAGAACACAAAGAGAGAATACAAAATCTCTCTTTCATGAGCATGAGAGAAATAACTAGGTTAATTTTTAGTTTTAACACGTCAATCTAAATAAATCTGACTTGCCAATGAAGTAAAACACCATTTTTATGACATGGTCATCACCTTGATTCACAGCAACAGTTCTATTGTAATGTTTAATATTACAGGAGATAAAATCATCTGTATTAGAAATCACTGTACCTGTTGACCTTGTGTCCAATGTAAAGTATTGAATATGTTTTCTTAGATAATCCTTGAAAAGGGTTTTAAATATTCTTTGAGTCTGGCACTGAATTCACCTCTGTGACTCAACTTTCAGCCAAATAGTAGACAGGCCTATAAGATAAACAGTTACACCTAGGGAGGATCCTACTAGAACAGTCAACCAGGCAAGAGAAAATACTTTGAATAAAGGATCTTAGAGGCATCTAACCCTCTCTTTCTATGCATGAGTTACTTGGACAAAAGATTACCTCATTTTTTTTTACATTATGTTAATTCTAGGACCAAGCCTATAGTTGAGTTGTTTTTTGTGTGGTGTTAGGGGCCTCTCCATGAGCAATGGTGTCAATCTAGAGACTAACGTGTTCCTGATACAGGCCACGGTCTTTTCAGTCACTTGCTATGCATCAGAGAATTGGACAATGACTAGGGAGGATAGAAGGAGAATTGATGCCTTTGAGCTGTGGTGCTGGAGAAGAGTATTGAATGTACCATGGACTGGTAGGAAAACGAACAGATTCATCCTGGAGAGGGTTAAACTGGGCTGCTCCTTGGAGGCAAGGATTCTGAGGCTTCATCTGACATACTTTGGACATGTTGCAAGGAAGGACCTATCCTTGGAGAAGGACATCATGCTTGGGAGGGTGGAGGGACAGCACATGAGGGGAAGACCCTTTGTGATGTGGATTGATTCAGTGACTGGGGTAATCGGGATGGGTGTATCGGGGACAGTGAGATTGACACAGGACAGAGCAGAGTTTAGGGCTGTTGTACATAGGGTCACTATGAGTCACAAGCTACTGGATGGCACATAATAACAACGCTCATATTTTCAGTAAAACATATGTGTACCATATCCTTTTGATAATAATATTAAGATCTGACAGGCCAGGTTTCAGGAAATGCCTCATGTTTCAATCATTGTTCCAGGTTGTCCCAGTACTAGCAAAGACTATGAATGGGTCAGAGAACTTGCTGTTCACTGGGTCTTCGTTAGCATCACAAGTCCATGCCGCTGCTGTCACCGGAGATAAGGGTGCTCTTCACAGGCTCATCTTAGGTAAGCAGTTTCCTTAAAACCAGAGTCTTTAAGAATAATTCATGCCCTGAGGAAATCTGATGATCTTATTTTTAATTTGCAGTATACTTAAACTTTGTGATGTTGTTAAGTGCTGTTGAATTGACTACAATTTGTAACGACCCTATGAACATTTCTGAGCTCTTTTCCATCCTGTACCATCCCTATCATCTCTGACACACTTCAACCCATTGCTGCAGTCCCTGTGTCAGTCCATTGAGGGTCTTCCTCTCCTTTGCTGACTCTCCACATTTTCAAGCATGATTTCCTTCTCCAAAGAATACTCTCTTCTAGCAACATGCCTAAATTATGTGAGATGAAACATTGCCATCTGTCTTTGCCTCTAAGGAGTACTTGGGCTGAATTTTTTCCAGGTAGTATCTGTTTGTTCTTTTTGAATAAACTGTGGAACAGACCATCAATTACTCATGTGAAAGTTCAAATTGAAGCTGAAAAAAATTAAAACAAGTGCACAAAAACCAAAATATGATTTTGAGTCTATTCCACCTGAATTTAGAAATCATCTGAAAAAAGAAATCATCTATAGAACAGGTTTGAGGCATTGAATGCTGATGATATATTGTGATAGTGCATTTCTCTTGCGTGCTCCCTCTTTCTTCAAAGCACATATTACAGAGAGTCTAGACCTTCGCAACAAATCCGCTCCTGACACCAGTTGCATTCATAATTCATTCTTTTAAGATTCGTAGCAGACCAGTTACAAGATGTGGGAATTCACCAGTGTCTCAAATTTTGGATTTACTGTATTAACTCTATGATTTCTCACACCAACAATTCCTTCTTTCTGTGGTTCCCCCACTCCTTTATGTTCCATGGGTTTGATGGTTAACTAGAAGGTCTCACAGAGACTCAGACCCCATCAGGGAATGACTCATCTGACTGTAGGTGGTGCAGCCTGGTGTTGCAGAGACGGGTGAGCATTGTAGACTGTCCATTACAATACAGCTGGAAAGCAAGCACCCCAAATACCAGCCTCTGAAAGGGTGGGACTTATATCCCACCCGAACCCTGTCTCATTAATACAACAAATACATCAGCATAAAATAAACAGTCCATCAATGGCTAGGAGAGACATACTGGACTATAAACCTTTGATACTGCAGACAGAAATATTTTATTTTGTATATTTGTTCCAAGACGTGGACAAAAAAGAAATTTTAGAACATGAGTGACCATTAGGTGAAAAGTAGTTGAGAAATACTTAACATTTTGCATTGAGTCTGGGTGTGCTAAGAGAATTTATCATTGTAATAGCAGAGATCTGAAATGAAAGGTTAGGTACTACTGAGCTATAGAAATAATAAAGAGTTTCAGAAAACCTAAATCTCTAACTGTTGTAGAATTAACATGTAGATATTTTTGTTTCATAGCATTATCTTCAAGAAAGATCAAAAGCCTTAATGTTTTGGCTGGTTTATCTTTCTAATTGAATCCTCACGTATTACAAACGTATTACATTCATGACTACTAATGAGAAGGTTAGCTGTTTGAGTCTACCCAAAGGTACGCCTCAAGAAAGGCTTGACAATATACTTCTGGGGGAAAAGCCAGGCATTCACAACTGTATGGACCACAATTCTACTCTGACACATGCGGAGTCAGCATGAGTTGGAATCCACTTGCTGGCAACTTCAAAAAAATTTTCATTTTTAATGATAAAATATGTTAAACATAAAAGTTGTGGTTAAGAGCTATTGAGTTGGAACTGAACTGACTCATAGCTCTCCAGTGGGTTTGCAGACACTGTAAATTGCAGGGGAAAAGACTGCCCAGTTTTTGTGTGCGGAACAGCTGGAAGATTCAAACTATGTACCTTCTGGTTGTCAGCCTTGGTTCTTACCACTAAGCCACCAGAGCTCCCCAAGCAGAAAGAGGTTTAGGAAGTAAAAGCTCTACATTTATCAATCAAAATTTCCATGCTTATAGCCCATTTCTAGACTCTTATCTTTCATTAAGCTAAGTTATTTAGATTACATTATAATATATACTGTTAGAACAGGTCTTCCTATTTCATTCTTTTTTCCTTTGGAGTGTCTTGGTTGCCTGTGTGTGTGTAAGTTCTATTGAGGCATACTATATTTAGAGTAAAGTACACAAATATTAAGTACATAATAAAATGAGAAATATCCTCTATGTGCTTATCTAAACACTTCCAGTACTCCCTGTAGCCTCCCCAGCAAGCCTGCCTTTCTTTCATGGATGATGTTGTAGTTCCTAGTAGGATCAAGGATTTTCCTTCAATACCAACAGCAGATGGAGTTCACTCAACCCAAGCCACCAAGAGGGTCAAAGGCAAGTCCTACCATCATGAGGATCCGAGAGAGCAGAGCCCACCTTACTCCAGAAGAAAACTCATTTGACATGACCGTTTGTCTGTGTTCCTATAGACTTACTTTAGAGTAATTTTAGGTTTAAAGAACAAATTCCAAAGAATTTGGAATTTGTACCCATATGCATGCCCATGTGCAGTTTTCCCAGCTTATAACATCTTACATTAATATAGTACATTTGTCACAACTGTTGTTGTTATGAACCATCAAATCAGAACTAACTCATAGCTGACCCTCCAGTGGGTTTTCGGATGCAGTAAATCTCATGGGAGGAAAATGCCTACCTTTCTCCCAAGGAATAACAGATGAATTCAAACTGCATGCCTTTGGAGAATTAGCCGTGCAAATCCTTACCACGAAGCCACCAGACCTCCCTGATGAGCTAATACTAATCCACTATTATTAGCGAAGGCCCATATTTTACTCACCTTTCCTTAGTTGGTAGGTTCAAACAGCAAATGTTTGGGTTCGTAGCTGAACACTTAAGCACTGAATTACCATGGTTATTTTACTTGGTGTTTATCTGATGTCTTTTGTCTTTTCCAGGATCCTACCCAGATAAGCCTATTACGTTTATTTAATCATAATGTCCCTTAAAGTTCCTATGTCATTGATGTCATCAAGTCAGAACCAAATCATAGCTGACCCTCCAGTAAATTTTCAGAGCCTGGAAATTGCATCTTTCTCCTGCAAAGCAGCTGGTGGATTAGAACAGCCTACTGTTGGATTGGCAGAACAGCTTCTTACCACTAGGCCACCAGAGCTCCCTACTTGTTCGTGTGTGTGTGTGTGTGTGTGTGTGTGTGTGTGTGTGTGTGTGAAAATTGTATTTTGAATTAGCCAGCTGGACTCAGTTTAGATGATCCCAATTTTGTTGGCAACATCCAAAGCATCTTAGTCAGAAGCAAGTCGAACATAAACCTTCTTCTCTCCATCTGGCCTGATCAAGTGTTGACCTTAGACACATTAGTGTCATAGAGCTTCTTTAGAGCTTGTTTAATTTGGTGCTTGTTGGCCTTTACATCCACAATGAACACAAGTGTATTGTTATCTTCTATCTTCTTCATGGCTGACTCAGTGGTCAGAGGAACTTGATGATGGCATAGTGGTCAAGCTTGTTTCTCCTGTGGGCACTCTTCTGGGGGTATTTGGGCTTCCTTTCGGAGTCTCAACGTCTTGGGCCTCCAGAAGGTGGGTGACATGTGGATCTTCTTTTTCTTTTTTTGTGGCTGTGGATGCCCTTCAGGACTACCTTCTTGGCCTTTAATGCCTTTGCTTTGGCTTCAATTTGGGGAGTGGCAGGGGCTTCCTTCTTCACTTTTGACTCCATCTTCATAGAAAGGCTCCCTACTCATTCTATAGATACATCAGGTGTGTGTAATATTTAGAGTATATATGAAATTTTATAGCTATATATTTGTATATACAAAATATATATGTTTATATTTAAAAGCCAATGATTTCATTTTGCTTAGATCCACAGTCAGCTCCCTTGGTACCATCCATCAAGAGATCAAGGTGTGTTGCATAGGGAAAATGTGCTATTAAGGACCTCACCAAGATATTAAGGATAAACAATGTCAGTTTAAAGACTAAGGTGCATCTGATTCAAGCCATAGTCATTTTAATTGCTTTCTATGTACCTGAAAGTTGGGCAGTTGACAGAATAAGAATTGATGCCTTTGAGTTGTGGTGTTGGAGATGTGGTACAGAATATCCCATGGACTACCAAAAAGTATAACCAAGGTGCTCTATAGAAGCAAAGATGGTGAAATTTTGTCTCACATACTCTGGGCATGTTGTTAGGAAGGGACTGTCCTTAGAAAAAGACATCATGCTTGAAAAGGTGGGGAGTCACTGAAAGAACAGAAAGACCCTTCCCAAGGTGAATTGACACAGTGGCTGTAAAAATACCAGAGATGATGAGGATGGCACAAGATAGGGCAAGGTTCAGATCAGTTGTTCCTAGGGTCACTATGAGTCCTAGGTGACTCAACTACATTTAACAAGAACTATGTTTAAGTCCTTTGCTGCTAACCAAGAAGGTGGTAGTCTGTTCACATAAGGACTGCAGCCTGGAAAACCCTGTGGTGCAGTTCCATCCTGTGTATAGGTTCACCATGTATCATGGTGACTCACTGGCTTCTGACAGTAACATTATCTTATGCACGTGTGTATGTTTGCATAAAATAACATTTTAACTTTTATATAAAAATTTACAGCAATAATAATTTTACCAAAGAACAAGTGTTTTTGTTTTATGATGAGTACTTTTTGTGTACTGTTTAAGAAAATCTTTGCCTCTTACAGTCATGAAAATGAAAATATTCTATATTTTCTTCTAGAAAGCTTTTTTTCCCCTACTTTGTCCAATTAGGGTTAAAGTGAACTTCTTTCTTAAAACTATCCAGTTTATTCAGAATAATTTATTAAAAAAGACTTTCTGTCTTTCATTGAATTTCAGTGGTGCTTTGTTTAAAATCAGAAGTATACATTAATGTATTTATTAATGGAAGCTATGTCTTGTTCTGTTTTTATGTTTTATTTACTAATATCATTTTTCTTTCGCTAATTTCCATGGTGAGGCCAGAACTCCTATGAACAAATTTTTATTGATTATTCTATTTGATT